AAAAGATCGCATCCTATTGACTGCAGCAGTACCATACCAGCATCGCGAGGGTCATTGCCCCCTTTCGGTGGTCGTCATCTAGTTGTTTATGGATTTAGTGCCCTCTCTGCAGCATGCGACAACCGAAGAGGTCAAGAGTCATCACGATGTGCATTAACATGATCCAAAGCACAGACGGTGGAGGAGGGGGGTTCTTAACCGATCTTATCCATCGAACCGTATCACAATACAGATCTCACACCATCTGGTCCCATCACCTTGCACTAGACCTTACGTTCTGTACACTCACGAAACACAGACCGACCACACAAATTTAGTTGAGGTCTGCAGGTTATATAAATAAATTGACAGAAATAATGCACCAGTTTTCTGAGAAAGGCGGAAAAGAGACCACCAGACTTGAAGGATAGAAACAAATGTGCTCAATAAGCATTCTCGGACATCCGAAAATGGATTTTCATTCCGGCCAGTTTTGGATGCAAGCTCTACAATGCGCCACGCTAACCTAAACTAACCTAACCCAACTTATTGAAAATATACACCCTTACCGACTAGCCATTGCGCATTGTCGTCTGCGCATAAAATAATGCAATTTGAAAAAAGTGTTAACAAAGCCCATAGGAATATCACTCCTTTAAAGCGAAGAGATAACTATTCGTTCAACAATTAGCAACTCTGCATTTTGCCCACACAAAATATTTACAGGTTTCATGTGCTTTTCAGAAGCAAATAGTGGTTATTTTCTTAAACAGAACAAACTAAGTGATATTTGTTTCGGGAAAGTGTTGTGTTTTCTTTGAGGTAGGAACTACATTTGTATATATTATTTAGATGAGATTCAGCTGAAAAGGATTAAGGACGGTGTGCTTATTGCATTAGTAATGTGTTTAGATCTAATTTCTTTTTTCCAATTGAACTTTTCAGATTATAAAATAAATAATAGTCCTAGGATAAATACATACGCGCACTTACTGTGCAAACACGAACGAAGAACTTCCGCTGTGAAGTCCAAGTCGGCAAATAATGAAATTGTGGATCGACTACTCGGACAGAAATGTGTGCACATGCCAACACACTACTCTGTTATGTCCACCGGTCCTCATATCGTTTTTCGAAACACTTTACAACGCTTAGGGAGACCATAACGTTTGCCAACCAAATACAGGAATCCGACTTAAAAACGCAGTTGACTACGAAGTGATACAGCGCTGAGACGAATGTCTGTACCCCGAAGAGATAAGACGCAGGGGGGCGAGAAAAATATTACTGTACTCATCACCTCACACTATAATAAAAAAAGTCAGAAATTTGCGGGACATGGCGAAATAAAAAGTGGGTTCAAAAAATTCGGTTGGACAACCCCAAATAAAGCAACCGCCTTGGAAACAAAAGAGCAGATGTGAGGATAATATTAAAACTGATATCAAAGAAACATGTAAATGTGTGAGCAGGATTTAAGTGTGTTGGTAACCTGTCTTTCGGTTTGTTAATATTTAATATTTTGATTTTATACCAATATTTCCGCGGAATATGCTAACCCTATCTTCAGAGTTGAAGACAGGAGGGTTAGGAAGCTGATGAGGTAAGCTGATTTAGGTTGACGTTCAGGCTCAGACAGGGTTCAATGGCGGACTTTCTTGAACACGACTAAGTGCTATTCAGAGATTTCGCTGCAATTAGAAATCGGCCCTTAGTAAGGCAGGATATCAATTGGGTTCGATATTTTAATAGAAGGCGATATTATTAAAAAGTTACTGATACGAGCAGTTTCTGTCCTGAGTAACTTGGTATGAGTGCTCATGAACTCATTCATTGAAGATGATAGTCTTATATAAAAGCCAATAAGACTCCCACATGTGTTCAGTAATTGTAAACGTGAGTCACGGAGACTGAACTGCATTCCAGCGGGGATGGTACATCACGGAACAGCCACCCACAGTGTGGTCACTGGTAACACGTCCACAGGACTCTAATCAAAACAGCAAAACAGCGACAAGTCAAGTTCAGAAAGTGAAAGTGTCCTGAAAAAAATAAAATACAGCTACCGGCTAAACATCTTTTCTTCTTCCGGTGCAAACTTGTAGCAAAAAATAGTAGGGTGGTGAAGATCGATGTTAAATTTACAGTCAATCAAGAGCCATTACCACAGTTTTCCCACTTCTTGTGCACAACGCTAGTAAACAGCGAAAGCAGTTGCAATGTTATTCATCCGGGGACTCCCCCTGTGGCAGACGTATTGGCATTCAACAGCCGCACGCCGCTTTGAATAACAATGAAGTCCACTAGTTATGCATTGTTATTCGCAGTGTGGGTGGGAGAATCAACACAGGAAACACTTTTGTGTTTTGGTAGCCATTTTTCGTCACAAAACTCCACCAACTAGCAAAGTTATTTGTACCAGTAGAATATTACGATATTTAAGTAAGAAAATAATTTAAACACAAACAAAACGTGTTCAACCAGCTGAATGAGTAATTCAGCCACAGTGGCAGTAGAATTCGAAAGTTATAACTCACTAACTACAAAGTCCGCCATCGGATACGTCCCAAAGCCACATGAATAAAGTTCGCATTTCGAAAACGCATTTTCTGTAAGATTCATTTTGATTTATCCTCCACATGATCTGGGTTCCAAGTAACAGAAACGCAGACTAATTCTCGTTACTGGATATAACTCATAGCCACTTGAATATATTTCAAGATCCATTTTAATATCATCCTTAATGTTCCAAGTGCAAAGGAATGTATGCTTTGCATTAGTAACACGTATATTTTAAACTCAAATTTCATTCCGTAAAACTAACACAACGTCATTTTAGGTAAAATGTAACAAGAACCAAAAGAATATTTGCTAACATAATATTCTAATAAGATTGGAAAGGTGCAATCCATTTCGGGGTACACTGAGTTTCCCCACATGCGTTCTTTATATCTTGGCACTCTAAATGCTCTTAGTTGTGTGTGTGTGTAGTATATGTCGAGACTCGTCCACATTACCTGAGTTAACATTTTACAGCTTTCTAGTGAGTGATCTGATAACTGC